GAATGTAGCACTTTGAGCCAAATACTCGAAAGTATCCAACTTGGGGTTTGTTACCGGTGAGGAGCTCGTATGCCGTCTTGCCGAGTAGCTTGTGAAGATACAAGCGATTTGTTGCATGACAAGCAGTCTCAACCGCTTCAGCCCAAAAGTGCTTCGGTGTCTTGTACTCATCAAGCATCGTTCTCGCCATTTGGATGAGCGTCTGGTTCTTCCTCTCAACAACTCCATTTTGTTGAGGTGTGTACGTAGCTAAGAACTCGTGTGAAATCCCTTCTTCGTCAAGAAAGGTGTCAACATTTGCGTTCTTGAACTCCATTCTGTTGTCGCTGCGAACCTTCTTGATCTTCACTTCAAACTGATTTTGGGCCTTCCTAGCGAAGTTTTTGAAGATCTTTTGGACCTGTGATTTATCATCGAGAAAGAACACCCATGTAAATCTTGAAAAATCATCAACTATAACTAGACCAAAAGAATTTCCACCGAGACTCTTGTAACAGTTGGGACCAAAAAGATCCATGTGAAGTAGCTCAAGTGGCCTCCTTGTGGTCATGATGTTCTTCACGGGATGACTTCCTCCAACCCGTTTACCTGCTTGACAAGCACTGCATAGTCTATCCTTATCAAAAATGACATCGTTAACACCAAGGATATGATTCCCTTTAATAAGCTTGTCAAGGTTTCTCATGCCAACGTGACCTAGTCGTCTATGCCATAACCAACCTTTTGAGGATTTAGCAATGAAGCAAGTTTTAGGTTGAGCCTTTTTAGTGAAATCAACAATGTATAGATCACCTCTACGTATGCTAGTAAAGACCATTTTATGATTGTCTCGACGAAACACTTGGCAATCTACTTCAGTAAATAGGACATTGAAACTGAAATCAGCAAGTCTAGATACTGAAAGTAAGTTGTAGCCAGGAGATTCAACGAGCATGACTTGTATGGAGCTATCATGTGAGATGGCCACCTTACCGAGGACAACCACCTTACCCTTTGAGTTGTCACCGAAAGTGACAAACTTTCGAGGACTATCATTTTCAGCAAGCTCACGGAACATGTCTTTATCTCCGATCATGTGATCGGTACATCCACTATCAAGGACCCATTCCTTTCCTCCTGCCATATATCCCCGAAGATTTGCCATAAGACCAAAATGTCTCATTGCATCATCAAGATCAAAGTCATCATCATCATCCTCATCATAGTATCCATGTTCAACATCGTCATGTGGTGGATCAATTCCTAGTGAGAGTAAATCATTAGTATGAGTTTGACAATAATCTTGCTTATGAATTCTAGTGGCTTCAGAAATAATATCGCTAATAATTCCAACATTTCCTTTGGCACGCATAAGATTTGTAAGTTCAAATAGACGATCACCAAACATAGGATCATTGGAATTCATCTTACTCAAGGCAATAGACTTATGAAGAATTTCATCAAGATTTTTCAAAGAATAATCAGGAAACCGTTCCTCAAGAAATTTTCATATAGTGTAGGCACACTCAAGAGTAGGCAATTTTATAATCAAGTTTCTAGGCAAGCCTCTAGTGATAAGATTAATAGTTCTAACATTCCTAATCATGTCAATAGACTCATCAAGAGTAGGATGCATAGGATTAACACAAGGTGCACAAGGACTAGCAATGTACTTGTTCAAATGATATTGATTGAAAATTACAAGCATCTCATTTTTTCCACTCATGAAAATACTCTCCATCAAGTATAGGCACTCTATGTCTAAGACTCCCCAAAGTAGACTCATCCATCTTACTCCAATGGTGATTAAACCAAAGCAATGGAGACCAATGCTCTGAGATCACTTATAGGACCTTGAGAAGAGGTGTCTAGAGGGGGGGGGGTGATTAGACACTTAGTACCAAAGTTGCAGTTTTTAACCCTTTTTAAGTTTAAGTGGAGTTTAGGCACAAGTTTAACATTCACAACACATAGCAAGCAAGCATGCAAAGAGTATATGAGCAGCGGAAAGTAAAGCATGCAACTTGCAAGAATGTAAAGGGAAGGGTTTTGAAGGATTCAAACGCAATTGGAGACACGGATGCTTTTGGCGTGGTTCCGATAGGTGGTGCTATCGTACATCCACGTTGATGGAGACTTCAACCCACGAAGGGTAACAGTTGCGCGAGTCCACGGAGGGCTCCACCCAAGAAGGGTCCATGAAGAAGCAACCTTGTCTATCCCACCATGGCCGTCGCCCACGAAGGACTTGCCTCACTAACGGTAGATCTTCACGAAGTAGGCGATCTCCTTGCCCTTACAAACTCCTTGGTTCAACTCCACAATCTTTGTCGGAGGCTCCCAAGTGACACCTAGCCAATCTAGGAGACACCACTCTCCAAGAAGTAACAAATGGTGCGTTGATGATGAACTCCTTGCTCTTGTGCTTCAAATGATAGTCTCCCCAACACTCAACTCTCTCTCGTAGGATTTGGATCTGGTGGAAAGAAGATTTGAGTGGAAACCAAATTGGGGAAGGCTAGAGATCAAGATTCATATGGTAGGAATGGAATATCTTGGCCTCAACACATGAGTAGGTAGTTGCCTCTCAGAAATAGGATACTGGAAGTGTAGGTTTGTTCTGATGGCTCTCTCCACGAATGAAGAGGAGGTGGAGGGGTATATATAGCCTCCACACAAAATCTAACCGTTACACACAATTTACCAATCTCGGTGGGACCGAATCAACAAACTCGGTCAGACCGATTTAGTAAATCTAGTGACCGTTAGGATTTTCGGTGGGACCGAAATGCAACTCGGTGAGACCGATATGGTTAGGGTTAGGGCATAACGTAATCTCGGTGAGACCGATTACACAAACTCGGTAGGACCGATTTTGGTAATTAGCTAACCAGAGAGTTGGTCAGGCAAACTCGGTTTGACCGATTACTCAAACTCGGTGGGACAAATATTGGTAATATGTTAACCAGAGAGTTTGCATTGTAATCTCGGTAGTACCGATTGCTCAAACTCGGTGAGACCAATTTTGATAATGGACATACACAGAGAGATTACAATCCCATCTCGGTGAGATCGAGATCCCTATCGGTGAGACCGATTTGCCTAGGGTTTGTGGCAGTGGCTAAGACATCTGAACTCGGTGGCTCTGGATAGAAAGAATCGGTGAGACCGATTTTGGCTTTAGGTTTAGGTTATATGTGGATGTGAGAAAGTAGTGGAGGGTTTTGGAGCATATCACTAAGCACTGTGGAGCAAGAAACGCATTAAGCAACACATCATCCCTTCTTGATAGTATTGGCTTTTCTTATAGACTCAATGTGATCTTGGATCACTGAAATATAGAATGAAGAGTCTTGAGCTTGAAGCTTTAGCCAATCCTTTGTCCTTAGCATCTTGAAGGAGTTCCACATCCTTTAGTCCATGCCACTGCATTATTAAACTTGTCTGAAATGTACTAGGTAAAAGTGTTAGTCCAACAAGAGATATGTTGACATTAATTACCAAAACCACCTAGGGAGCACTTGTGCTTTCAATCTCCCCCTTTTTGGTAATTGATGACAACATACATCAAAGCTTTAGATAAGGATATAAAGAATAGCAAGTAAAGCTTTGGAAAAACATGTAACAAGCATAGGCTCCCCCTACATGTATGCAATCATGTGAAATATAGAATATAGAAGCATGTGAGAGCATAATCATGACAGAGTAAGCAATGTGTTACATGTATCTTGGCCATATGCATCAGAGCAAAGAATATTAAAGAAAATACCTTCATGCTCATGAGTCCTTCTTGCAAACAGTATGTACATCAGCAAGAATTCCTCATACACATGATTGTGATGCATATACTTACCTTGTAGTCTTGAGTTGGCTTAGGATGAAATGAACCTGCACAAACAGGGTTAGATAACACAGGTACATCTACTAGCCAGAGCAAACAGAAGAAACCACAAGAATACCAAGACTGGGATGACATGTAAAGAGTGAGTACTAAGTACCACATTGGATTAGACATGTCCCCAAGAGTAAAGACATGCAATGAACATCGTCCACAGCGTGTGGCTGTCGGCGCGTACCTCGGATCGTTCCGCTTCTCCTCCGACGGCGATGAGCGGATGCACGCTATCTCGGCGCGCCGTTCTGCACCGGGGGCATTGGGACGCCACCTGCGCTCAGCCTCCATGAGTCCGGCACCTGCCTGTCCCGGGGCGCCGGGTAGTCCGCCTCATAGAGGAGGCGCGCCTCATCCTCACGCAGATGGCGTCGGCCGAAGCCGTTTGCCGTCGCGTCGTCGTCTGGGTAACGCTCGGCCATTGCTCGTCGGCGAAGGAAGAGTGGGGGAGAGGGGCGTCGGTGGCGATTGTGGCGTTCACCGACGAGGAGGTCGACTTTTATAGCCGAAGATGGGCGGTGAGAGGCTGCCCGCCGAGTGCCGCGTGACGGGAGCGGGCGGGACGCGCGTCGCGGCGCCTTCACTGTGTCTCCCGTGAAGCATCAATAGAAGGCTGACCGGCGCGGTAGCCTTGGCAATGATTCCTGCAAGAACCGAAGCGATGAAGATGACGAAGGCGCGAGTTGCCGACTCGGCGGGTCCATTCCCGTTCGCACCAAAATCTATTTCCCCGGCATCCCATGCGCCCCCAGCGTGTCGGGTTCGGCCTGGGTCTGCTGGCGTTAAAATCAGCCTGAACCGACAAAAATTAGACTTTTAAGAACGCGGCTGGGCCGAATTTTCGGCGCTGGCAATATAAAAAGGGTCTGGAGGGGTTTGTTGGGGGCACGGATGGAGATGATCTAAAGACTCGTCGACTCCAGTCTACCGGCGCGGCTCACAAAAACCACTGCGTCGTCCGCCGTCCCGTTTCGCCCACGCGGCGGAACGCCCATCAGACATGGACGACTCGCGCCACACGCTCCGTTAAAAAAAAAGGTTCACTCCCAGCTCCTTCCCCCCCCGCGGCCTCGCTTTCCTCTCGTGTCCTCGGCAGCCTCTAGCAGCACCGTGCCGTGCGCGCGGCGAGATGGCGTGCGCGGCCCCACCCAGCCCCCTCCCCGTGGTCTCCCTGCCCGCGCGCCGCCGCAGCGCGACTGCCGTCGCGCCCGCCTCCTACCACGCCCCCTCTACCCGGTTCTCGAGGCGTTCGTGGCTGTCCTCTGGAAACTCGCCCCGCTCTCGGCTGCGGACCCAGGCCTCCAAGGCCGAGCCAGCCGAGGAGGGCGTTCCCGCCGCGCCGGGCCCGTCTGCCCCGTCGGAGCCCCTGCCCCAGCCGCGTACCAGGTCGGCGCCAATTAGTGAGCTACTCCCTCTGTTCCTAAATATATTTGTCTTTTTAGAGATTTCAACAAGTGACTACATACGGAGCAAAATGAGTGAATCTACACTCTAAAATATGTCTATATACATCCGTATGTGGTAGTCCATTAAGACATTTAGACAAATACTCCCTCCGTCCGGAATTACTTGTCATAGAAATGAATGTATCTGATGTATTTTTAGTTCTAGATACATCCATTTATGCGACAAGTAATTCCGGACGGAGTGAGTATTTAGGAACGGAGGGAGTATTTTACTTGCGATTTCTGCATTGTTGTTTCGTCCTGTTTCTTTGTGAATAAAAATAACGGTATTGTTGATTTTTTGCTTTGTTCGTTGGTGTACAGCATATGGAATTGGAAGGGCTACAACATTCGCTATCAGTACGCCGGAACTTCTGGCCCTGCACTGGTTCTAATTCATGGTTTCGGGGCAAACAGGTGCGCATCGTAAACGCGCACTCTTGTTCGCAGTTTACTATTTGCAGGCAACAAAAGTTCTTCAGTGATCATGGATTCATGGCATTGTTGCAGTTTATCAACTGCTGTTACACTTTCCATACCAATTTCCTGAAGTGTCCGCTTGGCGCACTGTTCTTTGACAAGTACTCCTATTTAGTGCTACCACCCACTTATGTGCTACTGTGGTACTGATGCAAAATTATACCAGTAAGCAATCACTAAAAAGTCTACTACAATTTTTATTTTTATTTTTGGCAACGACACACTATGCATCTACCTTACCACAAAGTTTGAAATGAAAATCCCACCAGAAACCTCAATATGCATTGCTCCTGGCAATAATAATGGAACTATTTGACCTTTCCTATTTGGAAATATAGTGCTTCATTTATTATAAAACCTCAATATGCATTGCTCCTGGCAATACTATATTAGTTTTTTTTAGCGAAAAACGGTAGTGAGGGCCCCTACTGCGCCATTTTGTATATTATAAATGAATGGGTATGTACATATGGCAAGAACAAAAAACAGGGGAAAAGGGTTCTGCTGTTTACAAGCTGTCTAGCCAATATTGCACGCCCCCTCGGAGGCTAGGCCTGGCTCCGCAACAGATGAAAAGAGACTTGAGCCTATGCATGAAGAAATGGATGGTTGTTGATTTTCAAAGATCTTTCCATTTCTCTGCAGCCATATGCTCCAACATCCAATAATCATGATCTCCATGAAGTGCTCATAAGAGTATCTTTGCTTGGCTTGCATGATCATCTCAAAGAAATTTGTACTCCCTACAACAGCAGCAGCAACAACAACAACAACAAAGCCTTTAGTCCCAAACACGTTGGGGTAGGCTAGGGGTGAAACCAGGGCCGGTCCTGAGATTTTGGGGGCCCGGGGCGGGAACTAAAACTCGGGGGGGCCCTTAATGTAAAATCATAAATATTATAAACAAACATCAGAGCCACATAAATTGTTATTCCATGTGTTGATGCCAACATTTTCGTCTTGTTCAGATTTAGAATTTTCATAGTTTGGTTCGTCTTCCTCTACAACAATTATCACCAACTCATGATTTGGGTATTTACGGACCAGTATTAGTGCTGAAAAGAATTGCCAGTACCTTCTATCTATGATTCTACGAAGTCATCTGCATGTTTTTTCCTTCTCATTTTTTGGCTACAAGAGTACAAGACGCAAATTTCGAAATAGCATGGTAACACACATAGCAGAAACAAATATTACATATAAGATTGAACGGTGCAAGGTAAACATCATGTATGCAAAGAGAAATTACTTAATTAGCAATGAAAAAATACATAATATGGTTATGGCATACCTCGGACCTATGGATCGGCGACGGTGATCAGGCGATGATGATGCCACGACGTAGACTGATGTCCGGAGGTGGAAGGCGCTCAGGTGTGCGTATGCATCTGCACTCCAGGGAATCACACTGATCGTAATCAGCGCCTGGAGACCGGAGGCGCTCGGCGATGCTCATGGTGCGTGCGCTAGTGTGATTCCCTATGTGGCTGCGTCCAGCGCTGAGACCAACCGGTTGATTTGCATCTCACGATCAGGCCCCAGGGGAAAAGATGAATAGAGATTTAGGGTTCGTCGGCATCGCGACTCAGTCGTGAAAAGAAGGAAAGAAGGAACGACATGTGGTTACGATCTTTTCAGAAGGAAAAAAATGGCCGATGATTGCGTGAATTTTGGCTACGTGCGTACACAATACGTCCCAGCCCTGCCTCTTCCCCTGGGCCATGGACCAGCTTATTTTTCCATTGAGCCATGGGCTAGCCTGGCTGCTGCGTAGCGGGAGGGGGCCCCTGGAATGTGGGGGCCCGGGGCGGTCGCCCCCTCTGCCCCCCCTCAGGGCCGGCCCTGGGTGAAACCCATAAGATCTCGCAACCAACTCATAACTCATGGCTCTGGCACATGAATAGCAAGCTTCCGTTGACGGCCCGGCCCTTGCCCATTTGACACCACACCCGGGTTCCGACGTGGCGCGTCGCTGAGAGGGTTACGCCCCAACGAAAATCTTTTGGGTTTCATCTCCATAAGAGTGGCTGAGTTTCTACATTGGCTCGCCAAGCCTATCACAACCCTCCTCCTTTACCCGGGATTGGGACCGGCTATGTTTGAAACAACATAGGCGGAGTTATTCTACTGATGCATGGTGACAAAAAATAGTACCTACTCGACATTTTAGTAAGTTGATTGAACAAACTCATAGGGTGAGTTAATCTACAAGACAAAAACTAAATCAAGCCGGGCAGGTAGGTATAATCAGAAACAAGGTTACATGGACAGAACATTAAGTAACATGGCAAGTTTTTGCGAACTATAGTTGTTTCAAATTTTGAACTTAAGGCTAACCACTAAAAATGATCAGCATATGTGAATAAAGTATGTTTACCAGTGCAATTTCTGGATGCCCACTGTTTCCACAAGATAATAATCAGCATATGTGCTATTTATATTGAAGATGAAATATAAGAGCATATAGATCACTATTTTTAGTGATCTAAACGCTCTTATATTTGTTTACAGAGGGAGTATCAGTTTCCCATTTGATGCCAATACCCCACCAGAAACCTTGGCTGAATGAACATCCAAAAATAAGTGAAGTAGATCTTCAACAGGGCATTCATCACAGAGAACACATATATTAGATTCAATGTGAAAGTGTTTCCTGAGGAGATCTGTAGTGTTGACACTGTTTTTGAGAAGCAGCAAGTTCTGCAGATTCATTTGATAGGCAATGGTATGCCACAAGTACCAATTAGGGCTTTATATATTCTTCTGGTGCATAGTGATTCATCTCCCCATAGGAATTTCCAACTATCTTTTTCATGAGTGCTATCCATATGGACAATACTGTCTCTCAGGTGATGCAGTTGCTGATGTGCCTAATAGATAGTGGAAATTGGAATAAATCATAGAAGTTATTCTGTGCTGCATTACTTGCCTGAAACATAGAGATGTTGTCATCCTTTGCAAATGAGTGCAGTTCTGGATATTTGCTTTGCGTAATATTGTCATTTCATACATATTTCCATAACATCGTAAGTTTTCCATCACTAGCAGTACAAGATGTAAGCCGTCTAAACAGATCATTTAATCCCAAACAGTATCTCCACCAAAATGATCCCTTGGGTGCAGCTGCATGGGGGACTGTATTTTCAGAATTGTAGGCATTCCATAGCAGATTAATCCATGGGATGTTCTCATGGTTATAAAATTTGTGGAGGTTTTCCATAAGGAGGGTGGTGTTTTGAGCCTAGAACACCAAGTCCCCTTGTTCTTTATGTCTGCATATATCTTTTCAGCTAGCAATGCGTTTACCTATTTTGTGAATAACTTTACCATACCATAGGAACTGTCTGGATGATTTCTCAGCATGTTGTACGATGGTGATATGAACTTTAAAGGTGCACATAGCATATATAGTCATGGAAGAAATGGCACAGTGGATGTGAGTCTGCCAGAGTATATTAGTTCTTCTATTAGAATCTTTAGAACTGGGCTAGTGGTAGGGTCACAGTGGTGCATTCCTGCTGACCAAGGTTCAACTCCAGTCATGAGGGAATTTCTGGTATCTCACCTGACAGGGGTGGACTGTACCTTGATTAAATTCTATGAGATCCCTCCCCTGTTAGACTGGGTTTCTTTTTCTTTTGTTAGAATCTTAATGTTTCCTCCCCCTTGTAAGTTAGCTGTCTTCCCTTTCTTTAGGAATCCTGTACTTATTTCTCTTCTTTTCTCAGTGACCATTGGCGGAAAAATATTCCTGTTCTTGCCATGGCAAGTAGAGTTTATGCAATTGATCTAATTGGCTATGGCTACTCTGATAAACCTAATCCACGCGAGTTTGAAGAGAGCTTTTATACTTTTGAGACTTGGGGAGAACAGTTGAATACATTTTGTGCTGAAGTTGTCAAGAGTGATGCTTTCTTCATATGCAATTCAATCGGAGGTATGTTGGATGTTCAAGCAGAGCAGTGGAACATTCTATTTTTATGTAGCCAATGAATTTATAGAAATATCCTAGCTCAGAAATTAGAAGTGTTCATATTTTTAATTATTACCATGATGAGTAAATGAATGACGTTGGTTAAAATTAGCTTGATCAACAATCTTGAGTTTATTTATTTGTATATGAACTGGAGACAGTTTGTTTTAGCAGAAACATCTTTCTGAACCCTTGCAGTTGTTTCATTATTCTGCAGGGCTTGTTGGTCTGCAGGCAGCTGTTATGGAACCCCAAACATGCAAAGGTATTGTTTTGTTGGATATTTCACTAAGGATGCTTCATATCAACAAACAGCCATGGTTTGGAAGGCCTTTCATAAGATCATTTCAAAATCTCCTAAGGTAACTCACATTTTATGCTTCCTCGTTATATTGGTGCTCACTGGTTATTCGGTATAATGCCTTTTCTGGTTGTCAGGAACACTGTAATTGGGAAGCTCTTCTTTAATGCTGTTGCAACACCAGAATCCGTGAAAAATATTCTGTGTCAGGTAATTATTTTAACCTACCATCTTTATAAAAATGCTACAAATTATGTAAAAATATTTGTGGCATATAAAATATCTATGCCACATAATATTCAGACGATGAACATCTTGAATAGGTAAAAGCAAAAGATCTGGATTGCTCCAACCGAATCATATGAGGAGAAACAAATCCTTCTGTAAATACAATTAGATGTGCCATAAACATTATTAGTATTGGAGCTAAGGCCTATAAGCTTGACCTGAAACTAAAAGCTACTATAAGCTTAAGCCCTAAACCAAAATTATGCCTATAAGCTTGCCTTTCTCCATCTGAGAGAAAATTTCATAAGTTACAACTCATTCATTTTCCATAAGAAGAGTGGCAAAGTGTATTCTTCCCAGCAATATGTATGTTTGCCCCATTGAAGTGGCAGTGCAGCTTATTTATTTATTTTTCTCTTATGAAGAAAGTTTATATAAGATAATTTGTATCACGTTAATGTTTGTCATTCAGTTTAGAAGAGTGATGCCGGATGGCACATTATTTTGAATCTGACAGGGAACGGATATAATATGCATGCATGTTACAACAAGCATGTGTTGTATACCTTGCATTCTAGAGGACAATTTCATTTGGCTTAATTGCACGCTAATAGGATTTCCCTCCCAGAAGCTGCAACTGAAACAGCTTCATGCTAATACAAGAAAACTGTATCGGACTTTTTTCATGAACCATAGAGATGCTTTTGTTTAATTGTCTCTGAAGTACAGAATCTAGTTTTCTGTTTTACTTATTTAAGGTTTGCTTGGATATTTTTTTCGCTTACGTTGGAACTTATTTTCTCAACCTTTTCTGTTTTACTTATTTAAAATTTGCTTGGATATTTTCACTTAAATTGGAACTTATTTTCTCAACCTTTGCCTTTTCTAATTCTGCTGTAATTGCAGTGTTACCATGACACATCCGCTGTTACAGATGAATTAGTTCAGATGATCTTGCAGCCAGGGCTTGATCCCGGTGCTGTGGATGTATTCCTTGAGTTCATCTGTTATTCTGGAGGTCCTCTACCTGAAGACTTACTTCCAATGGTGAAGGTTAGGATTCCCCAGTTGTGTGATTGACCGTTTCTTTCGATTTTGTCAGTAATATAAGGTTTTGTTTTGGATTGTGCAGTGTCCAGTTTTGGTAGCTTGGGGAGAGAAGGACCCATGGGAGCCTGTGGAACTTGGAAGAGCCTACGGGTCTTTTGATGCTGTCGAAGATTTTGTTGTCCTCCCGAACGTTGGACACTGCCCTCAGGTGCTCTATCGGCAGCTGGGTTTAGTCGAATATGTTTGTACTGTAATCTACCTAGCATTTTAGTAACAATCTGTATGCATCAAGTAACGTCTGTCTCACTTGTTTGTATTTGTCCTTGCAGGATGAAGCACCTGAGCTTGTAAATCCACTTGTTGAATCATTTGTTAAGCTCCATAGTTAGTAGTACATGGATAGCTTATCTCCTATTTACATGGGTACATGGTCAACTCGAGCGAGGAGTTGCTTGAATATGGGGGTGCCAATTTTACTTGAGGATCACAAACGGTCCATTCTTTTGTAGGCCGTGGTAAGAATTTTTACCACAAACACTTGATGTGAAATCGTTATAGAAAATACTGCATTGCTTATTTCATTGGGAATAAAATTTGCAATTTCTCTCTGCAGAACTTCCATTTGAGCACTGGCAGGAAACACATTTATAGTTGAGGTATGAGACATGAGGATGAAGTATCTGATTTCATCTTATTACAGCAGCAGAACCCGTCTCCTGAGAACGGAGGTCAGTACGAGCAGCACAGGTGTTTTATTCTGGTCGAAACTGTTGGAGGTTCATCGGAAGTGAACGCAAGTTCATACCATATATGTATATAATTTGGAGAAGTAGTGGCTAATTTTCGTCCTTGTTTCCATAGTCAAAGTTACCCATCTTCTCGCTTGAGGTTTCTTTGCATACAGAAAAAGAGATTTGAAGTGACCTACACTTCGGTATCTTAACCAAAAAGCTTTTCCTCCCCTAGGAATGCTTGTCCAAAATTTTAAAGTTTTCAGTATTACTAGTATCAATGCAACACTCTTGCTTGCGCTTTTCTGTCAGGATGGGAGGCCAATTTATGAGGCCACGGGTCGGCCCATTTTTAAAATGCCAGTGGCCTTGCTGGCCCGATGGGTATCGCGGGTCGGACCAAATTCTAGTTGTTATTTAGTATCGCAGGTAATCAGAAAAAAAATTACTCAAATAAAAAGGTAATCAGATATATTGCAGATACGGGTGCATGCATACGCAAGCCCGCACCCACACGCGCCTGCTGCGCGCGCTGTGATCCGTCCGGCGGCCATGTCTGCGCACACGACGCGGGCTTGCCAGCAGATCCTACATGCATGCACGTCACACGTTCAAAGGAATTTAGCTAACTACGCCCACGGGCACTAACGAACTAACGACTCCGCTACAACAAAACGCAAGCATGCTAATACTCCCTCCGTCCCATAATGTAAGATGTTTTTTTGACACTAAGGTAGTGTCAAAAAACATCTTTTACGTCATGGGACGGAGAGAGTAGCTGCTAAGAGCATCTCCAGCCGTTGGCCCTCCAGGAGGGGCTAAAAATCGCCCCCTGGGGGCGCACCGGCGCTAACCCGCACGCTGGGGGCGTGATGCCCCCCGTCGCGGCGCCCATGTTATTTTGAAAAATTTAAACACGGCACAAACACGGTGCAAATTCATTGCAAACTTCGGCGAGTTCGTTCAAACTTAAATATATTTTACAAAAAAAACTACTAGGGGCCGCCACTCGCCGCTCCTCGCCGTCTGCCTCGCCGCTCCCCGCCGCCCGCCGCCCGCCCTCGCAGTTCTACATGCCGAGGAGGCTGTAGAACCGCATGTAGTCGCCGCCGCCGTCCCTGCTGCATCCCTCCCTCGGTTGGCGCGGCGGGTTTGACGGTCCGGGGACGTCCTCGTCGTCGTCGCTGTCGAGGATCACGACGCCGTGCTCATCCTCGCGCCCGCGCTTGCGGGCTTCGGTCTCCTTTAGGGCCCGGCGCTGCCAGACCATCTCATCACGGAGGTAGTCGTCCCGCGCCCACTGCATGGCATCCTCGTCGGAGAAGCCGCGCCGGGCTATCTCCTCGTACTCCGTGGGGAGGCCGGGCTCCGGCTTGGGCTCGACGAGGACGAAGCGGCCGGATGGGGGGGTGGAGTCGCCGATGCGGACGCCGGAGCTGCGGGTGCGCGCGCTGACCGGCGTGTCCTGGGGCTCGGGCTTAACGGGGCGGAGGCAGGGAGAGCCCGACGAGCGGCCAGACGACGCGCCGGGCCGCTCCATACGCCTCGGCGTCCAGGAGTTCCCACGGCGGCGTGAGAAGGTCGGGGGAGCGGGGTACTCGAGGCGCGGCGTGTTGGCACCCTCGATGTACTCGAGGACGGCCTCCAACGTGCGGCCGGGTACGCCCCACCACCGGCGCCGGCCCTCGGAGTTGAGCCTGCCGGAGGGCACGACGCCGTTCGTCGCCTCGAGTTGCTCGGCGTGTCGGCGGCGAAAATAGGGCTCCCAGAGCGGGCTGTCGGGGGTGTACCGCGGGCCTTCCCTCGCCGCCCGCGACAGGGACACGCGGATGCGTGCGATCTCCGCACGCCGCGCCGCCCCGGTGGGTGGTGGTGGCACCGGCACGCCGCCGCGCTGATCCTCCACGCCCCAGGCACCCGCATGTCCGGCGGGGCCGGGTACTCGGCATCGAAGAGGAGGCGAGCCTCGTCCTCGTGCAGATGGCGGCGCCTGAAGCCATTCGCCGCCACGCCGTCGCCTGGGAAGCGCTCGGCCATCCTTCTGAGCTGGAGACAGCGAGAGTAGGAAGGGGGAGAAGTGGGCGCGTCGGTGGTGTAGTGTGTGTGCGTGTCTCGGGCGCGCTGGTTCTCGCCTTATATAGGCGGAGGCGCCGCGCAGTAGGCTTCGCCAGCGCGTTACGCGTGGCGGGCGAGGGGACGCGCGTCGCCCGGCCTTCACTGCGCCGCCAGTAAGGCATCAATGGAGGCTGACCGGCGCGGCAGCGCGCGCAGCTTTGGCATTGATTCGCCGCGGGAAACGAGGCGAGAGGACGACGAAGCAATGAGAAGAGAGTCGAGTCGCTGATGCGGCTGGCCCACGGTGCTTTCGCGCCAAAAATTATTCGCCCGACGCTCCCGAGCGCTCCCCAGCGCATCGGGTTTGGGTTGGGTCTGCCAGCGCCAATTTCGGCCCGAGCCGGCGAAAAATGGGCCCATGGGGGCGCGACTGGGCCGATTTTTTGGCGCCGGCGGCCGAAAAATCGCATGGGGGGCCTTGTTGGGGGCGCGGCTGGAGATGCTCTAACTCACGCCTCGGTGGTGGGTCGACCCTGCTGACCCATTGGGTCAGTCGGTGCCGGCTCCACTGACCCAACTATGATTCGAGGCCAATCCACACGGCCCATTGGAATCGATTTTTCTGGCCGGGTCAGCGACCCGGCGGGCCGACCCGGCCCATTCCCATCCAGACTTTTCTGTGTTGTTCGAGCAGGTTTTAAAATTCTGGCATACTTTTTGTTTCATATACAACACACTAGGTTTTGCCCGCCACCCCTCTATCCTCCTGTGTCACTCATAATTTTCATTATTGTGCGTGGAATGCTTCCTCGCCCGTCCCGACAGGAGCACACGAACAGTTCATCCATTGAAATCAATGCCAGGTTTGTTGCCAGACGGAAGTCGGAAATGGATGTTCCAGTCGCATATTCTCGCGAGTTGTTGGCTACTTTTTTCTTCACCTATGAATTACTTGATGAGGACATCAATACCATTGTTATACCCACAGCCCCTAATGCTACATATACTGGACCAATTATTAGAGCTCGCGCACGCCAATTAAATTATCAGGTACTTTCGTTTCTTGGTAATGATTCTAATGTTTATGAGAATATGATGCTGCCTAAATTGGATACATTTGTTTTGCTTACAAATGAAGGACCTAGCTTGGAGAAGGATGGACATTGGAGCACGAACAAGCATGGAGATGATGGCATGCGCAAGGGGAACAAGAACGGAGTTACAAGTGATGATTTCAGGACTTTGAAGCCACCATAATGGGTGCATGAAGCCTTGGACGAAATATACAAGATGCCACTTCATAAATTTCGTCCCGAGACTATTCTAGGTGCTGCGTCACCTTATTATTGGGCCAGACCCATGTAATTTTGAAATACATAAGTATAGGCTATTTTTAGAGTCCGTATGTGTGGGGAAACAAGAGATATGGTTGATTTCGGACCCCTCCACCAAGGGCCACGAAATTTCCCCCTCTTCCTCCATATATACAGCCCTTAGGGCACCGTTTAGACTTTGGGGTTTTGTTTAGACTAAAGTTCGCCATAGCTGCAACTTTGCGTACTTCGTTTGTGTTCAACGACCAGACAAAGGCGTCACAGAACCCCACCTTGATCAATAAAGCTTTCATCTTATATTCGTAATATCCAGATTGCAATCTTAGTTTCTTGCTTGTTCTTCGTTTGCCTGCAGGAAACAGACCTTCGTGGTCAGGTTGATCGTGCTCCGGCGTGGTCAATAACCTCTTGGAGTTGGTTTAGCGATTGCTAAGGCGCGACGTCCTCACACGTTCGTAGTCGGATCGTCAAAGTCTTCTGACTTCCTCCAAAACGAAAGCCACCATCTCATCGAAAGACGGGACACCTTTGCCTCTATCAAGTGGTATCAGATTTCCAGGTTGCTCAGTGAGATTTTACAGCTTTTCATAGCTTAGATCAAGTCTGTTCTTCATACCTACAGTTCACGAAAAAGCCACAAAAAAATCAGGGTTAGTTCATCATATCTGAACCAATCTGAGCCTTTGCATAATTAGGGTTTTGCTTTGTTGAATTTGCGGTTGCATCGTCGGATCTAGTTGCTGGTCTTAGCGTCTAGTCTTTTAGAGTTTCGAGTTCTGTTCATAAGTTGTCATGCCGCCACCGCACCATCATCATCGCCCCTGCCACCTATCACCACTGCTCCGAATCCGTATCCATATACCACCACCAATCCATATCCATATACCACCACCGATCCATATCCATATACTACCACCGCTACCACCACCGCTGCCATATACCACCACCATATATCCACCACCAATCTGAGTTCCTTGCATATTAGGTTTGTTTTCGAGATCCATCTAATTTCCGATTCGTGTTTCCTTGCCTGGGTAGGTTTCGAAAAAAAAGGTCCGGAAACCACCCTCCGTTTAGGCCCAAAATTTTCCGAAAACGCACTTGACAAAAAAATTCTGGCTATCCTATTTTTAGGTGTTTCTAAGCGTATTGAGACAGTCGTCGTTATAGAAATTTTTTTGACCCGTTTTCAGTTTTTGGGTCCGGGCAGTCAAAAAAAAAATTGTCGAAAAAATTGGTCCGGGCAGGCAAAGGTGTCCCGTCTTTCGA